TGTTGTTGCATAGTGGGTGGAAGTCGTGGTTGCTCCACTTCCACTCCAGCTTCCTACTGATGCACATGAGAAACTTACAGAGTATGGCTCAAATGCTTAAGCCCCTGGCACCCATGAGAGAGATTCAGATGGAGTTCCGGGTTCTTCGCTTTGGTCTGGTCCAACTCTGGCCATTGTGGCCATTTGGGAAGTGACAGCTCTCTCTGTAGCTCAGCTTTTTAAATCAATCAACCAGCCAACCAACCAATTAATCTTTAAAAATAAATAAAATGAAAAGAGGCAAGGAGAAAAGAATGTCTATGCCCTGTGGGTTGCTCTGAAAAGGAATTGGGGAGAGCATGCATTCTCAGCCCCTGCCTATATAGGAAATGCTTCCTTAGCAAAGATGCTAGCAGAGGTGCTAAGTTGCCTGACATATTTTCTATCTTTACATTAGAGGAAACATTAGGAGTGAAGCAAAATTCCCCCATATAGAACTCCTTACCCACATTCTGAAATTGCTACTTTTAGTCATGTAAGGGCTGGGAACACCAGACTGTCACACTTTCAAAGTTTCTTCTAAATCAAGAACAAAATATAAGCAGAATAGCATCTAGGAGAGTTGTGTGAAGTCAGATTTTCATCACTACCATGAGAAACCTAAAAGAAGCTGCTTGCAAGAAAGGCCTGTTTGGGCTCCTGATGTTGTAGACCAGTGGTCCAAAATTGGTTTGCTCCACTGGCCCAATCATCTGGAGAGGCTGGAGGATGGCCGTGGTCATTGTGCCCAGGAGCAATCACATGGTGACATGGCGAGCTAGGAAGCTGGGGGAGAGCAACATAGCCCTTAGACACTGTAAGTACACTGAGTCTCCACCCTCTTACTACCATATATCATGTCTTTGAGCTTTAGTCATCTGAGTTCAGGTGTTGTGTCATAGTCCGAGCATAACATTTCACCCTGGCTCTTTGATACTCATGTCCATCTTCCTTGCACTGTAACAATCATTCTGAAGCTTTAATTCAGCATTGATGTAGAAATCCAAAGTCATGTCCAAGACTCCAGGAAGATTCCTCAGGCTGTGAACCTTCAAAAAATCCCAGTCATACACTTACAGGATACAATGGACAGATGTGCATAGGTTACATCTTTCCATTCGAAAGGCAGGTGTGTGTGAGTGACAGGACAAAGCAAGAACTAAAATGAGCAAACATGAACTCATAGAGCTCCTGGACACAGTGTGGGAAAGGCAGTTCTGCTGCAATAGCTGCACTGCTCAGTGTGATGTTCACTTCTCACAAGTTAGAGTCTCATCTGTGCAGCATCACTTACTGTTCCTCTGGCAGAGACTGTAGCTGCTGTTGGCATCACATTTCTGCTTAAAGTTGCCTGACTGCAGGCTTTTTACAGTGGCTCCACATCCATGACCGTTCCTCCTCATTTCCAGTTGTCTTAGATATCCCATGAAATTGGAGGGGGTACTCCCTTGCTTCCCATGACTGTGTTGTCTGCCCTGCATGGCTGCTCTCTGAGGCTACACACTAGTGTTAGTGGTATTATCTCATAACTTTCTTGCATCCTGCACACCTGCAAAGCCAGCATCACAAGGATGATGCCAAGGTCTGTCTCCAGCAGGAACTGTCTCTATGCCAGCTTGAACCAAGTCAGTGGTTGCTTTGGGGTACTTTGCTGGCAAGCCAGAACCTAGAGCTGGCTGTAGGTGAGCAGGAAGCCTCAGGGCTCTTTTCTGAAAAGTTTATGCTCTGGAAGGTCTTTGAAACAAATTTGTACTTCTGGGCCTATAATAGGACTGGGATGGAGGGGCATTTTGAAGATTTTTAAGGTGCCCTTCAGGCCTTTTCTCCATTGTCTTACCAGTTAGCACATGGCATCCTGTTACCTGAGCTCCTTTCCTAAGCAAGCTGTTTCTGCACCACACTCTATTGAACATGCTTTTTCTTTGTTCCTTCTCAGGTCGGGCTAAAGATATTTCAAATCTTTCTACTCTTTATGTTCTTTATTCTCACTGTGTAACTGACTGAACATGGCCAATAATACCCATTCTACAGTCTGAATCCTTTGCTGGTTTGAATCTTGTCTGCCAAATGAACCAGTCCACCACTTCTCAACTCAGCCTCCTGTAAAGAATCAGGACAGAGACACAATGCAGTCAAGTTCCATTCCATGCTGTGACAACGGTGGTCAGTTTTCAATAGAATCCTTATCACCATGGCTGGAATTGTGATTTAGCACATTGAGCGTCTACCTAAGACTCCAGATCCCACATCAGAGCACCAGTTTGAATTCAGGCTGCTTTGCTTCTGAACTAGCTCCCTGCTAAGGTATTTGGAAAAGCAGCGGAAGATGATACTTGGACCCATACAAGCACGTGGAAAATGTGGTTAGAGTTCCTGCCTCCTGGCTTGGCTTAACCCAGCCCTAACTGTCCTGCCCACTGGGGAAGTGAGCTCATGGATGCAATATCTTTTTCTCTCTTCCTTTCTGCCATTCTACCCAAAAGAAAATAAATCCTTATTCGCCTCAGTAATCTCATCAGCATGGCCTTTATGACCTACATTTCTGCCAAAATCCTGAGTGTGCATCTGAATTGCCCATCATTTTTCTGCTTGTAACATCGCAACCTTTCCTTAATCTTTCTCCAAATTTTCTCATTTGTCAGTTCACCAATTCCAAATCCATCTCCATGTGTTCAGCTATAGCTAGAGTAATGATCCCTTTCATGGTTCCAATTTTCAATAGGATCAGTTTTTCCTCAAGTGGAATATCTAAGACAAGCTACTTTCAAACGAAGGAGCTTATTTTGTCATGGTTTTGGAGGATCACACTGCAGGTTTTGGGAAGACCCCATTATTTTATCCACCTGGTATGGCAAGAAAATGGCAATCGCCAAGTATGTGTGTAGAAGTACAGGAAATACCACATGGTGTGCTAGGGAGGAGAGAGAGGGAGAGAGGGAGAGCCTCCTGAGAACTAGCTTCTTGGGACATGCCCTCAGTGACCTAACATATTCTATGTCTACCCCTAAGCACCATAATTGCATCCACTCTCAGTATTAACCATGATCCTGATATCTAATCACCTGCATGAGTTTGAGCTCCATATTGTTTTCAAATCATAGCAAGGGTCTCCTGTAAATAGTGTACCCAGCACAGTGGTTTACGCTAAGCAGCCAATACACGCAGGCTGTCCTTCTCTTCGGTTCTTGTGTATCATGTACATTTTGTTGTATACTGTGTTTAAAAAAAAATGAATAACCTATAATCTTAATTACTATATCATTTTAAAGCTGGATATAATTATTTCATAATATAATGTGAAGACTGATTAATTTGAGCTAATGTTAAAGTTTACGGGATTGATAACACTTTTCATTTTAGTTATTTTACATAAAGCCTAATTATTCTTGAGACTAATTTAAGGGTCATCTTGGCTGTTTTTGGTGTCCTACTATGCACTAATATAGTATTCAGGAAAATTGAGAAGAGAAGTGATTTCAATTTATCATTATTGCTAGTGTTGATTCTTATATTGTACCAGTTAAGAGTAGTGCTTTCCACATTAAAAAAACAAAGACATCAGCAGTTTCAATGAAAATAGTAAAAAATAAAATGCATGAATTAATGTCTGACATGCATATTTCATCAGTATTATTTTGAATAATTCATGTTAAAGTTTTAAAAAATTCCTCTTTAAAGCATTCATTATTAGTAATATTGAGTTTTTCCAGAACAGTATCTCTTACAGACTGCTTGATCCTGTACCCACTCTGCTTGCATGATACACACGACCTGTAGGATTCCCAAGCTGCCTGTTCCCAGGGAAAGGAAACTAGAACAGGAAGGGAAGAGGGGCATAGCTTTCCTTTGTCCAGTGTAAGAAACAGCAGTGGGTCTTCTCTAAACATAATGTTAGTTTGGAAATCTCTACTGAACTGATCTTTAAACAGATCTTTGTTCTAAATTTACCTTCGTCTAAGATACCTAGTGCAGCTTTATAAACATATATATAAAAAGCAAATTACTTTTTTATCTGCTTCTAGTTCTTCATGTTTTATGCAGCCTTTGCATTTAGAAGTCTTTTTTTACTGTCATTTTACAGTTTTGTAAAATTTTACAAATTGTTATTCTTACTTCATCTTGTGAAATACCTATTTGTAAATAGTTGCACTTTTTATGCCTTTTTGATGTATTACTGATAGTAATATTTTGTTGGATATATTTGCTTTGGATATATTTTCCCAGGTAATTCTTTGATCTTTTTCTTTTTCTCGAACACATCTTAGTGAACATTATTTCTTACATTTGTAAAGTTTTATTTGTTTGAAAGGCAGAGTGAAAGTCAGAAAGGGAGAGACACAGAGAGAGTATCTTCCATCCAAGAGTTTTTTTCACCAATTTTTTGCCACAGCCATGAGTGAGTTAGGCTAAAACCAGAAGCCAGGAGTATCAGACTGGTTTCCTACTGGGTAACAGCAACCCAAGTACTTCAGCCATCATCTGCTGCAACTCAGGTGCGTAAGAAGGAAGCTGGCTTAGAACAGGGGCAGGGTCGATCTCAGCCCCTGTGGAAATCCCACGTGGCAATTCAGCTTGCTGGACCACAATGCCCACATGCTGAATTTTAATAAAGTCAGAATTGTTCATCTTTTATGATTCATGCCTATGTGATTCAAAGTAATCTTTTCACTTAACATACTCAATGACTAGTTTTCTTAACACTTTTAAAACCTTCCTTGAAAGTTAATATCTGTTAGTTGAGTGAAGTCAGGATTCAGTTTTACCTGTTCTTTCTTGTAAAGATCAATACTTCTAAATTTCCATGTACTGAACCACAGTCTGACTTGCTGCCTTTGTCGTATATCAACATTTCATAAACAAGTAGATCTATTTCTGGATGTCTCGTCCTATGTTGTTTAATTTTGTGGAGATGCAGGTGTCATGTTTGAATTTTACAAACACATGTCCATACCTGATTTTAAGTAACTTGTCTTTTCCACTAGGTTTTGGACATAGTAAAATCGAGTATTCGTACAGTTCTTCCACGCATCTGGAAGGTGCCTGATGTCGAGGAAGTAAATTTATATCGGCTTTTCAACCGAGTTTTCAATCGCTTACTCTGGAGTCATGGCCAAGGACTGTGGAATTGTTTCTGTGATTCAGGGTAAGTGCTAAGCCATCTTTCATTACTGTAATCTTAAGTGTTTTACTGTTTAAAGAGACAGTCTAATAAAATGGTTGTTTCTTTAATAATCCTTTAAAATGTGGGATTTTACTTCATGTAATTCTTAGTGCTCAAGTATAATTTATATTAAACAGGCTGAGATAAAATGATGAATATGAATACAGTAACACCTAACTAATTTGAACTCAGTGGAGAGAAAGGAGTCTTAATTACTGTTAAAAGCTCAGTTGCAAGCCGGTATCCTGAAACATCTGCTCTTGCTTTTAAGTAGCAGACTGCTGAATTATGCTTGTACTCTCACTGTCTCAAATATTCCAGAGCTGCTAAAGCTACTGTGACCTACAATTATTTTAGTCTAAAGTTGTCTTAAACCAAAGATCGCATACACTTTGGTTCACAAATGGCTTCCATACCTGCCTTCCCTTAATCCTGTTGTTGTTTTCCCAATTTAAAAGGTTTGGTAATCTCCCTTCTTCCTCACTGTATTTAATTGTTTACTACTAAATCCTGTGTTAGATACGTTTAAAGAAATGAGTTCATTCAAAGTTGGACCTCCAGAAACTTCCCATTGATGATGGCAAACAATTCTCGCTACTGTGTTCCGGGATTTGTTCTAATCACTTTATGTATGTCAGGCGATTATGTTGTGTTCCAGGTTTGGGCCCAAGATTTATTTCCTAGGTTCCTGCCTCTCCCTTCATAATGCCTTAAGGAAGTAGTAAGATTTTTTCAGAGATTGAGGAATACAGACATACAAGGGCCACATTCAGGGAAAGCAAGCCAGGAAGTGAAAGGGTTATGTAGAGAGATCACCAACTCTGTCTTCAGAGTCTGTCTGTGGAAAGCAAGAAAGCAAGCGGCTGTGCGAGGGGCCAAGAGCCCAAATGCGAGCGAGACAGCACGTAACCAAGAGAGCGAGCCCCTCCCCAACATGGGATTTTTAAAGGATCTTGAGAGGGGAGTGGTTACACAATAACATAACACTACCTGCCCCAGTCCCAGGTAATAATGGGGATGTGTCCTCTGACTCACAGATAGGCAAAAAGATAGGTTATACACACACACACACACACACACACACACACACACACACACACTGGTAGGGGAGGTGTGGCTTCCAAACACACGACCCTGTACTAGCATCCCAAAACAATATCAGTTTCATGTCTAAAACAGCATTTTGTCTCAGGTTCTGCGTTATCTCTTGAGTTACATACATGTTAAGGACACAGTAAAACTTGGATTTGAACTAATTTAGCTTTTAACCCAAGTTTACTCTCATGATCACTAACTAAACTGTAATGTCTCAAGAAAAAATATGATCTACGTGGAAGCAGTCATCAGAAAAGCGACACAGATAAAATATGACATGGTTTCACATGGTAAGTCTATTTTAAAGATTTATTTGAAAGATAGTTACATGCACACAAACACACATATACATACACACACAGACACAGAATTTTCTGGCCCCTGGTTTACTCCTCAGATGGCTTTAATGGCCAAGCACGGAGCCAGGAGCATCTTGTGGGTCTTCCCTGTGGATGGCAGGTGCCCGAGTACTTGAGTCATCTGAACTGCTTTCCTAGGTTGTTGGCAGGAAGCTGGATCAGAAGCAGAGCAGCTGGGTTACCAACTGATGTCCATATTGAATGCTGGCATTGCAGATGGAGGCTTTACCAGTTAGGCCCCAATGTTGGGCCCGTGGCAGTCTCTCTGATAGAAAGGTTAGGTGAAATTAATAGAATCTGGGCATTTTTGCCTCCAGGGTTTTGTCTCCCTTACCCATGTTCTGTCATTGTCAGTTCCTAAGATCTGTAATAACTTTCTTTTTTAAAAAAATTATTTATTTATTTATTTATTGGAAAGTCAGATATACAGAGAGGAGGAGAGACAGAGAGGAAGATCTTCCATCCAATGATTTACTCCCCAAGTGAGTGTAATGGCTGATGCTATGCCGATCTGAAGCCAGGATCCAGGAACCTCTTCCGAGTCTCCCACGCGGGTGCAGGGTCCCAAGGCTTTGGGCTGTCCTCGACCGCTTTCCCAGGCCACAAGCAGGGAGCTGAATGGGAAGGGTAGCTGCCGGGATTAGAACTTGTGGCCGTATGGGATCCCAGGGCGCGTTCAAGGTGAGGACTTTAGCTGCTAGGCCATGCCGCCAGTCCCTGTAATAGCTTCCATTCTTTAACATTAAAGCCCAAAATGCTTATCGCTAGATAGAAGGTTCTTTCTCCCATCTCGTAATTCTGCTCCAACTTGAACTCTGTTCCAGAAAAAGACTCATTACTGTTTAGGGATCTTAAAGATTTGTCCTTTCTTTCCTCTGAGCTATTGAAGTTCTTGTGTATCTGAAAGGACTGCTTTGCACAACCCTGTTCCTCCAGTCCCCTCTGTATTATTTGAATACCCAGATATGCCCATCTCTTCTGTAAAGTTTCAATAAACCCTTCTACTTTTGAATGATTTGTAACTCCTGCATTTAAATGAAATAGCCATGTGGTACTGAACCAGTTCATACCACTTGCAGACTCACCGTCTCCACTGTAATTTTACTATTTTTTTCCCCATTCACCAACAGGAAGAATTCGTAAGCTACTTTCAGGTGCAATGTGATCTGAATAATCTTCATCATACTTTATTTCTATAATGACTTCAGTAAAACGTTTGAATTGTACTCCATAGCCCCTAGTTGACATCAATCTATAAAAGTACTTCCAATTTAAACCCAGAATTGTAAATGTTTTCTGTTGTTGTTATTTGGCAAAACCAAGGACAAGCCCAAAGGGCTGACTGTGGTTCTCAGCTGCTCTCCACCTAGGAAAACTGAGAGATCCTGAAATATAGCTGGCTTGGAGTCCATGACTTTTGCTAATGTTTGATTTGAAAGAAATGTGTAGAATGTATTGCCATATGTTTCAATGCCAATATGATGTAACTAAGTTTAGAATCCTTTTTTGCCTGTGGCTGGTACAAAATTCCCCTCCGATTTCCCTGGTGGTATCTCTGTTATCAGTAATGATAGTGATAGTAAATGATGTTGATTGGAGACTAACTGAATGTCTGACATTGTTGCATTTTAATAGCTTGGACAATCTCCAAAGAAACTATTTTGATTGAAGTATTATTATTACTCCATTTTACACAGCTGAAGAGATTGAAACACAAACTGGATATATGGCATGTCCATGCTCCTCCTGTAAGTGGGTGAACCTGCACTTAAGCCCAGGTTTCCAGAGGCAAGCCCACACTTTTTATACTAAGATTAAGTTTTACTCAAAGTTGTGTAAAATGGATGCCTAGCTCATCATGTCTGGCCAGGTGGGGCAGAAGTAGCATTGAATCAAATTTGCCTTTACTCTCCACCTATTTGTTCCAGTTTTATGGTTTGTAGAGGTGAGTTAACCATCAGGTTTATTTTGTAGCTATACCAATATGTTTCTTAGGCTTTCTCAGTTTGATAAAGTCGATAGTACTGTTTGTCTGATTCTCAGCCTGGGTGCGGAATAATTGTTAATCCTTTCAATTGTGTCTAGTTAATACACAAGCATAAACACACACATTCTCTCTCTTCTTTAACCTTTGAAAGAACAGTCAGGTAGAAATCTATTCTGCTCACTTCTAAAGAAGTTATTTTAATATGAGGTATAGCTTTATTTCACACTAAATTGTAAAAAATATATAATCTAAGTAACTCTAACCCACTTTGGTTCTTGCCTCTGCCTACAAACATCCCCAACAACAAAACAGTAAATAAGCCATCCACTATCTGCCTCCAGAGACATCCAGGAGAGTGGTATAAATCTGTGTATGAAGGTTCTTTAGGATTGGCTAAGGGTTTGCATTAACACAAGAAGGCAAAGAAACCCTCCTCCTTTGTTTTTTCTCTGCAGGCTGCAAAAAGCCATGCTAAGGAGAGCTTACCACGTGCAGCCTCCTGAGAATGCTAGCAGTGGGATTGGGCATTGGAAAAAGTGTCAGTGTGTATATATGTGTATTAAATTCTGTATGATTTGCACACACACAATTCAGAAAGTTTGTGGAAAAACAGAATAAGCTTATGATGATGGTTTGGACCCTTTAACCAGAAAATTTTTCCTGTAATACTGTGGCATGAATAAGCTTTTCTTTTAAAATCGTAGAAAAAGACGACAGTTGAAGGTAGGTTTGAAGGCTGTTTGTAGGATGGTTTACACCTACTTGAAAATGTGTGCATAAGGTGGAGACCCTCAAATTGACATGACTTTTACTGTTTTCATTTAGCTTTTGATTGAATGTAATCCGATTAGCACTTTTTTTTTTTAGCTCAGTAATCTCTCACTTAGTGATCCTTCTGTTGATCTAATCTATTGTTAAGGGTTTTTTGTTTTGTTTTTACTTCCATTGTTCTTTCTGTTACTTTCCTTTAAGCCACTTTATCATCAATTAACATTTCCACCTAAGGAGAAAAAAAACTAGTTGCACTTTCCAGAGAACTATTTTGTTAACTATTTTAATGAGAAAAGGGGATAAAAATTACTGGATTATTGTATAATGCAAGAGTTTTTAAAGCCTCTGGGCTTCATTAATAACTCCCCTTTGTTGCCAAAGGTATTTCGTTTTCTATGTCTTATCATTACATTACTTTTAAGAAAGCCATTCAAGTTCCTTTTATATTTCTGTAAAGATTAGGGAGAACAAGAAAGAACTTTAAAACATTCAATTTCTCTTTTTGAATTCATGGATTTTTGACAGTCCTATTTCCTTGAAATTTAGGTTCAAAGAGCAAGCAGATGACATCCTGCTTTGTAAAAATGCCCTGGTATATATATATATATATATATAATGGCTTAAATATCTATATCTATAGATATAGATATAGATATAGATATAGATATATATACTCAAAGTTGTGTAAAATGGATGCCTAGCTCCATATATATGCCTATATATAGATATAGATATAGATATTTAAGCCATATATATATATAAGCTCCATA